AACGTATATAAGCGCTTTAAAAGCTTGTTGGCATACATAGCTAACATCGAAATGGTTCTATGGAACTACAAACAACTACACACAAGTATACAATTTATATATTTTTCATATGCAAGTTTTCATAGATATTTGTAATAATTATTACAATATTAATTTTAATATTACAGATATGATTATTGAATAAATAGGATTTATTGCATTTAACAAAAAATTGTCCATGGAAATTTAATCTTAGTAATACACTTAATTAGACAAATATTTCAACTCTCTTTATTTAGAAATATATATTCGAAAGTTTATTTTAGATAAAATCACTAAATAATCTCTTACATTAACGGATTGGTCATTGGACTGGCAAGTCATTTGAAACTGGTTTGGAATCTTTATTCAAATGCTAAAATCAAAGTTCTAATAATTTTGTCACCATCTTCGTCCTCATTCATTCTTCAAATTAACATCAAAGTAGCAATTTGCTTGTTTTCACACTTCCCTTGTTCCTCAATCGAAAACAAACAATTTTCATATTACCTTCGTATGTTATATTGCAAGTTTCTTGTTACATCATCTAATCTTCCACTCTGGCATTTTTCGCATGTCAAACTTGATTGACGTTTTTTCTTGACAAATGATCATATTATTTCTACGCATGTTTTGAGAATATAACACTGGAATTGTGATATATGAGCATGTGATTGATATAACGGTAATGAAAAACCAGAATCAAAATCATGCAAATTGTCATTCTAGACAGTTGATGAAGGTAGCGACCATATGAAGGAGGTGAGTTAATGACAGAACTGACGATGTGTGAAGTAGAAAAGGAATTCGAGGAGGGAAATTTCTCTAAGGCAAGGTGAAATGTGAAAAAAAAAAGAGTTCATGTGTAAGACAAGCATGACAACACCATCAAGAATTGCTCGAGCAAAAAAAAAGAACAAGTCAAAACCTTTCTCGAATAAAAGTTCGAATCAGATCTAAAAATAGGTTCAAATTAGTTCGAATCAACTTGAACTCGAGTGGCTCAGCCCAACTTCAATTTACTTAAGAATCGAATGAGCATTCTTTAAATAAAAGAGAATATCCTTTATCTGGACAAAATTATCCCAAATAAGGGATAACCTCTTTATATTCATGAATTTCTCAAAAAGACCCAA